TCCCCTTGGTGTAAATCTGCTGGCTGTTGATAAGCTTCACAAAAAATAATCTGCTTTCTTTGCCTATTACTATTATTATTACTATGAAAAATAAATAATTTAAAACTTTTTCTCTATGTTCTTTAGTGCAAAATTAAACTTCTTTTTTTTATAAAAATAGCAGAATACTAAAAGTCTTGGGAAAGAGGTAAGGGAAACTATTCCCTTTGAAAATTCAGCATGAGATGTAAGCAAATAAGACTATTTAAAAAAGTCTACCTTTCTTACATTATACAGAAGTCCAGTTGGTACTGTAGAAAGTTGTGTTACTTGGACTCATGAAAATTAAAGCATGGGAAGATAGATAAAACTAGGGGATTTAAAAACTTACTTTGCATGTCTTTACTGCAAATATGCTCCTCAAAACCACAGTATCTGAACAAGAATGTGATTAGCAGTAGTATGTGACGCCAGTAATGGGGTTCCTTCCTTCTTCCCATTTCAAAGCTCAAAGAGTATAGATTTGTGGGAGATGGTGACTTGTATTTTTACAACATACTCTCTGCTTTTCCAGTAAATTAAATAGTGCTAGCACATGGTCATCTGTAACATCAAACTTTTAGGATTATCCCCACATGCTCTGTGTCCTGCTCCCACCAGCCTCCCTCTTTAGTACCCTTCAGGAGTTATTGTGTTTAACAGTCCACCTGCAACGGGTGGTGTCTGAAGGAAGGAGAGGTTTTGCTAGCAGACATGGGTGCAGTTCTGTGCTTTTTGGTGGTTTTGTTGTCTATGAAACATCCTCGAGCATATTTAATTTACTAGTAGAGATACAGCCTAAGGGCCTAAGACCAGCTCCGTTTCCTGAACAAACAGGTTTTACTTTTTTTTTTTTATGCCTACAGAAAACGGTTGTTTGAGGCCATTAATCTAGGGATTTGGGCAACAGGTTTACTAGAGGAGTGTGGACTGAAGTGAAAAAGTATCACATTTACACCACCCAGATACAAGACCAAGACTTCAAACATGGTGTCATGGTTTAGGAATGGTACTCCCCAATTTAGTGCTCTCACTGAGACTCTCTAAACCATGTTGATGCTTGCTTGCTCCCCCTTCCCCTGCAGAGGGCTGGAGAGGAGAATTGGAGGCACAAAAGGTAAAGATCACAGGTTGAGATAAGAACAATTTACTAGAGACAGCAATGAGATAAGAAAATGAACAGTAACAGCAACAATACTAATAACAGAGGGGGTACAAAAAAAGAAACACAGAAACCCCTGACAATAGACAATACTGGACAGCTCCCTCCAGCTCAGAACTGGGCCACCCCACTGCTCCCTCTGCCACAATTACTCGCTGGGAAGGAATCCCTTCTCCCTGGAAGAGACTCCCTTCCCCCTGCCCAAGGTAATGACATGAGGTGGTATAGAATAACCTCTGGGTCCTGGCCATGCCCCCTCCTGGCTACTTAAAAAATTAACCCTGTCTTGGCCAGAACCAGGAAACGCGCTGTAAGTATAGAAGAATCTTTCCAGAAGATTTCATTGAAGGAGGGAAGGGTTTATGTCGCTCAAGATGGCTTTGCTGTCTGGGAGAGAGGCATCTTTCCCAGGGATAGTCTTAGATGTTTTCTCCTCCTGCATTCCAGAGAGGTTGACTCCCTGGTACAAGAGAAGATAAGTTCTTGCAGATGTGTTTGAAGGCCCCCGCAGTGGGAGGGCCAGGCAGACAATAAAAGCCCTGAGAAGAAAAGAGGGGGTGCATCAAAAAATGCCCGGTGCAGCTAGTGCCATGATGTTAGTGTTCTCGGCTAAATCCTTCACTGCTTGGTATCTGGGGGTACCTGCATGTAATCTTTCATCACACATGGTAATGGTGTTTTCTGAACACCATGCATCTGTTGGATATGTCCATGATAGTGTAGATCTAAGAGTGCAGAATGTAAAAGACTAAATACTTAATTTTATGATTCTTTAAGGGTACAGATATCAAGAAATTTTCTTCTAGAGTTTCTACATGCTTTATCTTACAACTCCTCATCTATAACTGTTCAGCTTCATTTCATTATTGGTTTTGGAATTTATTCTTATCTTTTAATTCATTTTAGTCCTTTCCTTTTGTGATTATTGCAAAATATTTTTGTCCTTTTTTTGAATGTGAGATTAACTTGGATGATAAAGTATATTCAAAATATGGACACAAAATATTTCTTCATTACTTCAGAAGGAACAGTTTAGGCAGATTTTTGTCCCATCTTCTTGATTCCAATTCAAGAGAAAAGATACCTTGAAATATAGAACTCCATACATTCTTGCATGCCCATCAGCTATGGAAAACTGTATTTGCATTGATGTAGCTATTTGACTCATTGTATATACACATATGCATATTTTGTTCAGCCATCACTAATTCAGAATCCCTGTAAAATGGAAAGAGCAATCTTATGCAGCCCTTCTGCTCATGGAAGCGAGGCAGAGAGCAGAAGCACACCCATGAAAACAATGGGCTCCGGTGGAAGCTCCTGATGATGCAGCACCATACCAGACTCCAGAAAAGCATGAGGTAGTTCAGTTTCCAAGCTACACTTTAAGAGCACTGTCCCCTGTTTCTGGAGAAAAATGCTAATTGAGAAAGAGGTGGTGTAATCCTTGTTGTTTTCCATCCCCTTCAAACAAGCTTACTTCACCATCCTCACTCTTTATCTTGATCTGTACTCAATGAAAACCACTGAGAGGTAAGACGCGTTGTAACAGCATAGAACATAATTGCACTATGGATATTGCTATCAAAATCCAGTCCCAACTCAGATACAGGATCATAGCAGTCCTTTTTAAATCCTCAGGACCCAGTTTTTCACCGATCTTTTTTTGTAAGTATTGGAGTCTGCAAATATTTGTAGGTTTTTCTATATAGTTGCAATTTCCAAGTGCGAAAATTAATCTCGGAAAAAGACAAGAAAATAAAATTGTGGGTTTTTTGGACTTTTTTTTTTTTTTTGCAGACCCCTGTCCACTCTGAGCACTGTAATTTTTTCAGAATCCTTGATGCAATTTATACAACAGCTCTGGAACACACCTAATGACCTGATGTGGTAGAGCTATGAGTTCATATTATTGTGTCAAAGTGGTCTGAATTATAAATAAAAACCTTTCCTTTGATCTAAATTTGATAAAAGTTTTCAAGTGTCAAATTAACAGCAAAAGAATTATCTGTAAAATTGCACAGAACCGAAAAACTTAATCCCGTTAAACAGTTGAAAGATTGTGAAGTAAACTACTCCATAAGTTAGGAAATATCTAATTGCATCCAAATCAGGGAGAATTCCTATTGAGAAAAAGGGTATAGTAGCAAATATGTACTTCCCTGAACTGGAGATTCTTCCTGCTGGACTTTCTGTGCTATTATGTTGATTACATGAACAGGTCTGGGTATGTGTTGCACATTCTGTGTTCATGGAAAGCTATTTTGCCTTGCCAGAGCTGAGGCTTCAAGGGAACAGGGATAGGAACTGGGTTTGCTCTGTCTGGAGGGAACAAAACTGAAAAGTGCTAAGGAAAATAAGTGGGTTGTAATGGCATTCCAGATCAAAGGTGGAAAGTATTAAATCTTCCTTCATTTTTGAGTACATGCAGTGTGCTCTGATATAGCCTGTCTGTCACTGACCATTTTTACCTGATAACTCTCTAATCTGTGTATACAACTTTGGAAAAAGGCAGATAGATCAGGGATCAGAGGATGAGGTACTGCTGGAGCTGCTTGTGACTATGAGAACTTTCCTAAAAAATGTGTTTCTGCAAAGTCTTGGGATTTTTATGTTGCAAACATCTTACCCCTAGATATATCAAGAGCAGGTATGTCTACATCTTAGGCTGCTGTGTTGTTTGGACAGTTTATATATTGGAAGTAGACTAGACTCAGCACTGCAGCATATGACAGAAGTTAATTTACTCTGTTTCTCAGAGCAACAGCAGAATAAATTAAACAGTATAGAGTTCCACTACTTAAGTACCTAAACTAGCTTGGAATTTCTGTACTGTCTGCAAACCCAATTTAGAAACTGTTCACTTCAGGATACAGCCTTTAGCCTCCTGAATTCTCAGGATGGGACACAGTCTGGGGCACTATTGCAACTGAGTGTCACTGTGATGCACACCATTCCTCCAGCAGAGCAATATTTGATATAGCAAAGCATGGCAGATGCTATTTTGGCCAAAAGCAGAAACATGTAATTCCAAAGTTAAAAGCATGAGTCTTTAAAGCCTGGGATCAAGTTGAAAATGGCCAAATTCCCACTTCCTGTGTACTGGGACAAAAAATGCCACTAAAAATGGAATAGATATTACTTTATAAATAAAACGCCTCAACTTTTAGATACAATATCCACTGCAAAGTAAATTTCACTTCCTCTGTTTAACCCACAGCTGGCAATCAATAACAGCAAGGTTTCAAGGCTTTGCCATTTTGTTTTCTGCTTCAGACACTTAACATGTAAGGTGTTAGCATAACTACTCCACCCCAGCACCTAGGAAGGGGCTCAATACGGAGTGAAGAGCAGGTCACAAAACCGGGTATTACTTGGCCACAGGGTAACGTTTTCGCACAGTATTCCCGGCCCCGGAACAGGACTGCAAGTCGCGGCAGTCACAGACAACCTGATCCAGACAAGCGCGGCGTGGCGCCGAAACCAGGGGACGTCCGAGTTAGCTGGGCTCCAGCCGGCCTCAGGGCCCCACCAAGTCCCGCTCACCTCGCCCCGGGACGGACAACCTCTGCTGACCGAAGCTTCCCCGGGTGGGCGGCGAGGCGAGGCGAGGACGGCGGCCAGGGCCACGCCCCTCAGGCCTGAGCTCCGCGGCGGGCGCCGAGCATCCTCTCCGGGCGGGGCAGGCAGAGTACCTTCACCAGCGGGAGGCTGCGGCGCCGCTGGAGGTGGGGTTCTGACACTACTTCCTCCACCCCCAGCTCAGTCCTGCCGATCTCTCTGCTTCTTCCCTACCTGGCCGTCTCTGGCTAGAACTCAACGGCTGCCATTGGCTTAGCGGCCTCATCCGGGCACTTGGCGCAACGCTGTTGCTCAGCTCGATCGTCCCAATATGGCGGAGGTGAGCGGGAGAAGCGGGCTGGGGCGTCGGAATTCGGCTGGCTCCCTGCGGGGTCCCGCTGCTGGCAGGCCCCCTGCGCCCGTCTCACCATCCCCATAAGGCGCTTCTGGGACGGCTTGGCGGCGTGGGGTGGCTGGTGAAGCGGCCGGCAACCCCTAGGCACTGGGAGCCTGCGCGACTAGGCCGCAAGGCGGGTGCCGCGCAGCGAGGATCCCGAGTTCGCCGCCCGTGGGCGGCCGGCAAGCCGCGGCCGGGTGTGCGGCCACCTCACCGAGCCAGGGAGGCGCGGGATGGGCCAGCGGCCGCGCCGCCGCAGCGCGGGCGATGGAGAAATGCTCGGCGGGAGGGAGGAGGAGCGAGACCCGGGCCGGCAGCGGGGAAGAGGCGGCTGGTCCGGCTCCCTCTGCCTGCCCCTGTCGTGTCCCGCCGGGGTCGGAAGGAGTGGGAGCGCCGGGTCAGGCGCGGCTCCTGGGGAGCTTTTGCCAGGGAAGGAGGAAGAAAGGAGAGCGGCAAGCAGAGAGTGAGCGAGAGAAGGAGGGATGGGAGAGGGTAAACGCGATGGAGGGGGTGAGTAGGGCGGGGGCTGGCGGGGAAGGGAGCAGCTCCAGGAGTGGAGGGGGCGTGAAATGGAGACCCCCTACCTCCTGCTGGGTTGGAGGGAGCCCACGTCTCACCTCGCTCTTCCTTCTCCCCGCAGGCTTCCTTTGGGAGTTCGAGCCCAGGTTCGTCTTTGCCCACCTTCTGCCCCAGCACATAACCTGCTGCCCGCACGCTGCTTTCTCCTTCCTGCTCCTTCCCAAACTTACCTCCTGTTGCCTTGTAGCTTTCCTTATGCTTCATGTTCATGTAACTAACCACCTGCCTGATTTTTAAGAGAAGGAGATGTGCTCTGTGGAGTTCTTCCCATACCTCTGGTCACAGTTAGTAATTGGCTGCTCAGAACCCAAAATGAAAATAAAGTTTTGTAGCACTTTTAAGTCAGCATCTCAGTAAAGCCATGTAGCCTGGAGAGAGATCTCTTCTCCTGTTGCTGATAACTGCAGGGTTGTGTAAATTTTTGATTTCTTGATAATATCAGAAAACGTTTAAAATCATAATGATATGTAATTGTTAAGGCTTTAACTGCTGTTAAGATTCTTTTGAATATTTACATAAGGAAGAATATTTAACATCAGCAGAGCTACTCATGAAAAATATTTGGGGAATATTGCTTCTGTGTACTTGCTCTCACCATTGGCTAAACACTAGTATGTAAGAACTAGAAGGGGAAACCAGAGGTGAAAGAGAAATATCCTAGTCTGTTTCTTTTCTCTTTCATGAAAGCCTTAAGAAAGTGAATATTGAAGAACAAAACAACCTTGCATTTCAGTAATTTTTATTGTAGAACACTGATATTGCCGTGCAGAATATTTGCATCTTTAAAACTTGTTGAATCTAATGATAACCTTTCTAAGAAATGCACTTAAAATAACAACAGTGCTGTTTTGATGACTTATGAGTATCATTTTGGGTAATGAAAAAGTGTCTGGACCACAGAGCTATCACAATGATTTGTTAATTACTGTGATCCATTAGAAGTGTTTTGTTATTTCTGGTATATTTCCCTCTATTTCTTGAAAGTCTGCTATGTTTGTTCTTCCTTTTTAGATCAATTGCTAAGAATTAGTTTTATTAAAAGATCTCATCTGTGAGACTAATCTGAGTCTCACTGCTTATTTTGCTGTTGTTAGGAAACTTGTTTGCAACCTAAATTAGCTGTTTATCAGTGAAAAGCTATGCTAGTTACCATATAAATCATATAAATACAATCTAAATCTATAAATCAGTGTTTTGCAGCATCTGAAATCCTGTGACGTGGATGTTATACTTTAACGATGATTTCAAGGATCTTTAAAACAATCTTTTATTCAGTAAAATATTAATTTGGGATTGTACTTTCTGAAACTGTTTCAATAGTTTAGATACTTTTCCCAAGTGTATATATATATATATATATATACACTGCAAGAGAGAAAACTGCACCTATTACTTACAAGTACAAAAAGGGAAGGCCAGCTAAAATAATTGAATTTGTCAGGTAGTTAAGAATTTGTTCCATTTATTCTATGAGAGTTCTGACCCTGTATGTAAAAACTCGTGCAACTTTATTTTTTTTGTGATGTAATTTCATTTTTTGTATAGAAAAAAATATTACTCAAATTAGGTTTTTTTCATAGTTGGCTCTTTATCGTCTGAGGATCATGACTTTGACCCTTCTGCTGAAATGCTGGTACATGATTATGATGATGAGCGAACTCTCGACGAAGAGGAGGAAATGATGGAAGAAAACAAAAATTTCAGCTCTGAAATTGAAGATTTAGAAAAGGTAAGAGTGACTTGCTCTCTCCTAAATGTCCATATATGTTGTAGCTTTTTAGTGAAAAGAACACTCAACCTGTTCTTTAGTTTGTATTGTATAGTGCAAAATGCCTTTGGATTTTTTTTTTAAAAACATTAAAAAATTGTGTTTGGTTAGGATATAGCACTGCATCCTCACAAAAAGGCTGACCTTAGCTTCTCAAAGTTATAAGTGTTATGTTAAGTTCAGATTCTTCTTTTTCATTTAATAATCCTTTCACTTTGGAAATTACTGAAGTAGGTTTTAGAGTCCTATCATCTAATATCCCTTATAATTTTTAAGTTTTATAAGTTGGAAATAAGTTTAAATTGTATGTTAAGTGACAGCTAGCTGTGTTTCATTTTGTTGGTCAGATTTTGGTTTTCCAATCTGGAAACAGTCCTGTTTTACACATATTTTTCACATTCATTTGCTACATAAATTGTAGTTACACATCTCAGTTTCATCAGTTTGCTGGTTGTACAAAATGACCAGTGTGCTCCTTGGCTTTTCCTATTCTTTTTACACTCTTTAATTACATGTTTTTTTCTGTTTATACCCCTTATTTGTCTGTGTCAGCGCATCACCCATTTTAAATGCCTGCTGAATGCTGAATATCCACAAACTGATGCTGCTTGCATTACCATTCAGTGACCCACTTACACCACTCAGCATAACTGCAGATTTTGATCAACAGAGTTCCAGGAAAGTGTAATTTTTAGTATTAAATAGGAGGCTGTGCTTTTGTAGTCCATTGCTACCTTTTGCAATTATATTTCTGCTGATTATGACTTGCAATTATAATACCAAAGCAGCTTGCCAAGTCTGGTGGTTAAAATGGAGTTGTTACTCCACAAAATGATCTTATTGCTTCTATAAAAGAAAGAAAAAGAACTGAGAGGCACTCATCTTAAACACTTTAGTACTTTATGTCCCAATTCTGGAAAGACTTGGACATGAATTAACGTTTACCCATTGAGAAAAGCCTTTGCAGGTCTAAGACCTTAGCTGATTAAAGAAAACAAGTAATTTAATCAGTGTATAATTTCAACAGGAAATTTTTTAAGGTACTATAACTTTTAAAGGTAAATATTTCTAATTATTTGATGACTTGAATCAGGTAACTAAACAAAAATTCTCCATGGTTTGTTTTATTAATTGTGTTAGGATGCAAGTATGATGATATTTAGTAAAATAATTTGATCAAAAGCTGTTGGAAAAAACCAAGTTATAAACCAAACCTTTCTCTTGATTTTTGCTTCTGTATCATTAGTTGTTTTTCTCCTATTACTTGCTGTACTGGTCTTGGCTGGGGTAGATTTAATTTTCTTCCTAGTAGCTAGTATGGGGCTATGCTTTGGATTTGTGCTGAAAACAGTGTTGATAACACACAGATGTTTTAGTTATTGCTGAGCAGGGCTTACACAGACTCAAGGCCTTTTCTGCTTCTCACACTGCCCTGCTCCTCGGGGACTGGTTGGGCATCGGTTGGTTGGTGGTGAGCAATTGTTTTCATTTGGATCACTTGTTTTTCTTGGGCTTTACTTCCCCCTCTTTTTTTTTTCCTTTTCCTTACAATTTCTTTAAAAAATTATTATGTCTTTTTAAATAATAAACTGTCTCTACTTGAACCCACAAGTTTCTTTTTTACTCATCCAATTCTCTTCCCCCCATCCCATGGAGAGGGGTGGGGGGAGGGAGCAACTGTGTGGTGTTTAATTGCCATCCGGGGTTAAGCCACAACAGTCCTTTTTAGTGCCCAGTGTGGGGCACAAAGGGTTTGAGATAACAGATTTGACCATAACATATTAGGAGGAATTTATGTCTGTTAACAGTTGCTGGTCACGATATTGATTTATCTGCTCTTGATATTAGCTTATCTGATCTGTGCCATGCTCTTTTTTTTTGCTGTACATGTTAAAGATTGGTGTTGGCTTTTGCAGTTTACTGTGCTCTGTAGTGCTTAGTGGTGTTTTGCCTGGGAGATTTATTATTAAAACACTGACCTTGAGCTTAATCTGGTATTTGGGCTCTGTACTGAAGCCATTACTGTACTTCAGGCACCATCTCATGGAGACAATTAACAATTATACTACTTCTGAGAGATTTTTTTGTGGAGGTAATACAGAATGGCACCTTCACCACCTTCTTTCGTCATGTTTTCTCCCTTGTGTCATGGTTTGAGAGCCCCAAAATCCAATTCTTGAGTCCTAGCCCCCCTCCCTCATCTCAACTCAGTGTGAGATGGGTTTTCCAGACACCACATGAGACTCAAAATGGGGGGAAAGGGATTATATATTACAATGACTGTACAAAATAAATACTACAATACATTGTATACAATCTTAACTATCTCTACCATGACATAACAGTATTTACAATGGATCAAATCTCTTCTCCCTTCCAAATAAAAGTCCAGGAGGGAAGAAGGAAGAGATCCTTTCCACTCTCAGAGCAGCAGTGTCTTCAGGGCAGCAGCCTATCTCACTCCATGCAGCAGTTGTAGCTGGATCTCTGCCAGTACACACGAGGGGGGTATCCAAGCCCCTCTCGGCCCTTCGTCTCCAAGTGAGGGTCTTCTCTTCCGTGAGCTGTGTTCACCCGGACAAAGGTCACTTCACCACGGTCATATCAACGAAATGCAGAAGCCTTCGTGATGGTCCGTATCTTCAGGGGATTCAAGCCCTCTTTGCAGAGCTCCCATGCTCTGACTCAAAACTGCCAGCTTGGCAGTAGCAGCGGGGGGGGGGGGGGAGGTCACCCCCTCCACATTCCTTCTCTGAGCTTTTCAGCTCCTTTCTGCAGTGCTGTAGCACTCCAAGACTCTTTCAAGTAAGAGTTCATCATCCTCCTCCTTTCTAGGAGGGGTCTCCAAGGAGTTTGGGGGGTTTTGGTTCAGTTCTTAGCCCAAAACTCTATCTCTGTAGAGCTTAGTTCTGCTCTCTCTGCTGCTGGCTCTCTTTCCTTCAGACAACTCCGTGTCTCTCTTCCTCCTTGGCTACGTGCCGTTTCTGCTACTTCTCCCTTATCTCTTGGCTCTCAGCCACAGTTTCCGGCCAGTGCTGTTCTGCCGCTGCTGCTGCTCACGGTGGAGAAACATCCCCCAGTTCATAGCTACAGGCACTTAGCCCAGCCTTACGCTGTTCCAAGTCCCTGTAGCCCACCAGCTGGAGCTGGGGGAGGGGGCTCAGCCCCCAGTGGGGCTGTGGCCCCTTCTCCTCGTGGCTCTACAACATGGCTACTTCAACAACAACAACTACAACCAACTACAACAACATCACCTTCTCTTCCGGTCTGCTTGTGATATGTTTATATTTTGCAAAAGTGATCATTGGCTCAAACCTCAAGGGTCACCACCCCCCTGGGGGTTTACCATTTTATAACTTCAGGGGGAAAATTGTTTTCCCCCACCACACCTTGTTACAATAACTCTTCAGTATCTTGAACATCCTTGAGTAGTCTAAATACTTCTATTCATATTTCTTAGGAATATTGTTTCAACTTTTTCTAAGGTTAACAAACTATTTAGGAATATGACCCAGGACCCGTAGCTGTGTGGTTATAGGTGGCAAGGCATGTGGGAGAATATGGGCAGGTATTTAGAAAGGTTTACACCTCTGATGGTCTGGAACTTCACTCCTGAACAAATGTGGAATCCTGATGAAGTGGTAGAATGTTTGGGGGGAAAAAAAAGATGCCCTGACTATTCCAAAGAGACAGAAACAATGGAAGCAGAAGTCAACTTATTTAGTAAGAGATGAAAAAGCTTCTCCTGAGAGAGAGCAGGAGAGCGAATCAGAAGAGGCAGTCTGAAAAAGAAATATTAGCAGTATATGAAGGAGTTCAAGCTGCTTCAAAAGTACTTGGTACTGAAGCACAACTCCTTTTGGCACCCCAACTATCAGTGCTGGGCTGGATGTTCAAAGGGAGGGTCCCCTCTACACATCATGCAACTGATGCTATATGGAGTAAGTGGGTTGCACTGATCACACAATGGGTTTGAATGGGAAACTCTGACTGCCCAGGAATTCTGAAAGTGATTGTGAACTGGTTGAAACTTCAGAGTGTTGCCAGAGGAGGTGACTTGTGCTCGAGTCCCCACTGTATAATAAACTACCAGAAAATGAAAAGCAATATGCCCTGTTTACAGATGGATCCTGTCATATTGTGGGAAAACATCGAAGTTGGAAAGCTGCCACGTGGAGTCCTACACAAGTTGTGGAAACTGCTGAAGGAGAAGGTGAATCAAGTCAGTTTGCAGAGGTGAAAGCCATCCAGCTGGCTAAAAATATTGCAGAACAAGAAAAATGACCAGTACTTTATACTGACTCCTGGATGGTGGCAAATGCCCCGTGGGGGTGGTTGCAACAATGGAAGCAGAATAACTGGCAGTGCAGGGGTAAACCCATCTGGGGCTGCTGCATTGTGGCAAGATATTGCTGCCCAGGTGGAGAACCTGGTTGTGAAGGTACATCACATAGATGCTCATGTACGCAAGAGTCAGGCCACTGAAGAACATTGAAACAATAAGCAGGTGGACCAGGCTGCTAGAACTGAAGTGGCTCAGGTGGATCTGGACTGGGAACAGAAGGGTGACTTATAACTCAATGAACTCATGACACATCAGGACATTTAGGAAGGAATTACGGCATACAAATGGGCTCATGATTGAGGGGTGGACTTGATGCCACTGCACAGATTATCCATGAATGTTAAATGTGTGCCATAATCAAACAAGCCAAGAAGCTAAAGCCTTTTTGGTATAGAAGACAATGGCTGAAATATTAGTATGGGGAAGCCTGGCAGATTGCTTATATCACACTACCATTAGCCTGCTGTGGCAAACACCATGTGCTTACAATGGTGGAAGTAACTATGGAAACATCAAGTTTATGGCTGGCAACACTGCAGCCCTGAAAGAATTGGATCAGACAACAGGACTCTTCTGAAATAGCCTCAGAGATACCTGGACCAAGGAGCATGGCATTGACTGGGTGTATCACATCCCCTATCATGCACCAGACTCCAGGAAAATCAAATGATACAATGGACTGTTAAAAACTGCACTGAGAGCAATGGATGCTGGGACATTCAAGCATTGGGATACACATTTAACAGAAGTCACTTGGCTAGTTAACAGTAGAGGATCTGCCAGTTGACCTGGCCCTGCCCAATCAAAACCCCTGTGCACTGTGGAAGGAGATAAGATACCCATAGTACATATAAGGAACTGGCTGGAAAAAAAGTCTGGGTTATTCCTTCCTCAGGAAAGGGTAAGCCTATTTGTGGGATTGTTTTTGCTCCAGAACCTGGGTGCACTTATTGGGTAATGCAGAAGAATGGGGGAGTCCAATGTGTACCTTAAGGTGATTTAATCCTGGGTAAAAATAATCCATCATTTGAGTTGTATGATGGCAGTGCTACACAATGCTGTATGTCACCACTGCTGTGACTGTCACATATCAAAGGTATTATAGCAGGTACCTCTTGCTGCTAGCTAAGCTAGAGGCAAGAGGAGAGAGATTCATTGCAATGTTAAAACTTAAAGCCTAGTCCAAAGGGAGCAGGGGTGAGGAATGTAATGGATATACCTTTTAATTGTTGTAACTCATTATTTGAGTTGCATGTTATAGGAATTACTATAGCAGGAACCACCTGAACCACTGGAGGAAGCAGTTGCAGTGCAGCAGTGACTCGACCTGAGCTGGCTTTAGTGCCCAGTGACTATGCAACACACCACCTCTCCTGTCCCGAGTGACCACCAGAACAGATGGAGCCCAAAGTCATGGACTGAATTAATTCAATGAATGTTTTATATATATTTATGGATATTTTACAGACATTTAACAGGGGGAGGGAGTGGTTAATGAGGATGTATTGCAATAGAGTGGGACCTGAATATGATGTAAATGATATGGAATAAGGGTTGGAGAATGTACTGGTTTTGGCTGGGATATAGATAATTTCTTCATGGTAGCTTGTATGGGGATATGTTTGGATTTGTGCTGAAAACAGTGTTGATAACATACTGATGTCTTCATTATTGCTGGAGCAGGGCTTACTGAGTCAGGGCCTTTTCTGCTCCACATGTTGCTGCACCAGTGAGTAGGCTGAGGGTGCACAAGAAGTTGGGAGGGGACACAGCTGGGACAGCTGACCCCAACTGACCAAAGGGATATTTCAGACCATATGACATCATACTCAGCATATGGGGGGGGGATGTTGGCAGGGGGGCTGCTGCTCAGGGACTGACTGGGCATCGGTTGGTTGGTAGGTAGTGAGCAGTTGTTTTCATTTGCATCATTTGTCTTTCTTGGAGTTTATATTCCTCTTTCATGTTTTATTTTGTTGTGATCTTTTTTTCTCCTATTTTCCTTGCATTTAAAAAAATATTTATTTTTAATGATTAAACTGTCTTTATTTCAACCCATGAGTTTGTTTCTCACTTTTACTGTTTCAATTCTCATCTCCATCCCACCAGAGAGGAGTGAATAAGCAGCTGTGTGGTGTTTATTTGCCAACTGGGGTTAAACTACACCTTCTCTACAGTCATTATAAAATATATTGAGCAGAAGATGGAAAGGAGGGATAAAAAATTGTTACATTGGTTTACTTTTGTGGTGTTTTGCATGCTTGCAACTGTAACTATATAGGACTAAAGTCTTCAAGTTTTTCTACATTTCTTTCTTGTAAGGGGATTGTTAGTGTTCCTAGTATATCTTCTGTCTTGAAGAAATATAGGCAAATCATGTTCTACAGTATGAATCAGATAAGGAGCAAATTTTTAATAATTACTCTTTAGTTTCATACACTAAATGGTTTTCTTCAATAGTTTAATGGGACTTCATTATATGCCAGGAGACATGGTTATGAATTATTTCAGTCTCGTACCTGAAAATATTTTAGATCTTTAATCAAGATTCCTGCTTTCAGTCAAGTTTTTCTTGCTTGTTTTTTACTATTGTTTTTCACTATTGTTTTTCAAAATATGTCTTATCCTTTTAGGCCTGAACTGTTTACAAGTATTTGGCAATATGTTGAAATTTTTGTAACTCTTCTTGTATTAGGAAGGAAACATGCCGTTGGAAGATTTACTGGCATTCTATGGCTATGAACCTGCAATTCCAGTTATGGCTGGTTCCAGTGTGGATAGCTCTCCAAGTGAACTTGCAGATGAGCTTCCAGATATGACTCTAGATAAAGTAAGTCAGAACTGTTTTCCCCTGTGTTACAGTTTAAAAAGTAGAAATCTGTGTGACCTTAACTTATATTTCACTATCTCTTGATGTTACAAAATACATATCCTTGTCAATTTCAATATACAATTAAGAGTTACTGTACTTGTGGTGGATTTGGCAGTGTTAATTTTATGGTTAGACTGGATGACCTTAAAGGTCTTTTCCAACCTAAATGATTCTGTGATTGCACTCTGAATTAATTATTTTTCAAGGATATTTAGGATCTGAATCTAATTATAATTATCACACACATGCGTAGCAACTTTAGTGGTATTATATTACTACAACTGAGAAATGAATAAGGTAATGGTTCTTCTAAAACTCATTCAGAGAACTTTAAATAGATTTCCTTTTTTCTTTTTTTAGTAGCGGGATTTTTTCTGAAAAGTTCTGCATTTTATTTTAATGTATGCAATGTCCAGAAATAATAATTCTGGCTTCAAACATATATGTCATGTATCAAACCTTTGTGGATAACTTGAAAAGTGCACTATTAAATGCTTTGGAATGTTTCTTTCAAATACATATAATTTGTAAAGGTCTCAACTTTGGGGGATGAGAGAGATTGTTTTATGTGCAATTACTATATGTATTGCATTATTGAATATAGAAACATGAAACTTCAGGTTTTGTGATTCACAGGGTAACTTTGAATTCTGAGATTAATCTGATTTTTTTAAGGCATATGCAGCTAGTAGCAACTAGTAGTTTGTATTATAAAATCTGTAGTTGTCTTTTTTTTCTTTCCATAAGTCTGATGAAATTATAAACTCCACAGAAAGTACGGTATAATGATGACTCTGCACATCTGATTCTCATTAGGAGTCATGATTGTGTTGAGGCTACAGAAATGTAGTCGGCTTTTCTAATACAGTTCTTTGCCTCCCTAATCTCTATACAGAAGGGTTCAAGCATGTCTGGTTGTGGAGAATGTGTGTTCTCGCTCCCTTTCCCTTTCTTTTGCCCTCCCCTTTGCTTGCTCTTGCTCGCCCCTCCTCTTGCTCTATTATGTATTGTCTATTATTTGTAATTCTTCTCAGGAAAAGTGCCTGGCTTTTGTTTTGGGTTTTTGTTGTTTCACTCGTACCCACTTCCCCCCCCCCCCCCCCCAAATTTAAGGACTATCTGTGATGCAAATAATGACAAAATTTTAAATATTTCCACTCACATTTTTCATTGGAAGCAGTTGGAGGAACATCTGAGATTTGATGCATTACTACTTGTACATTTATTTTAATAGAAGAAAAGGGGGAAATAAACCTCTGTGTTTAACTCTGAAATGAATGGTTATATTTGCTTTGAGAATTAGGAGTGGACTAGCTTTTAATTAAAGAGTGAAGAGTCTACTAAAATTACTTATGATAAAATAGTTCATTTTAATTAATGAGACTTACAATTTGCTGAATCTAAATGCTCACCAGTCTATACTTAATAGTCAGTCTGAAATTTTGGTTTTTTTTTTTTATTTTAATGAAACAGGAGGAGATAGCTAAAGACCTCTTGTCAGGTGATGATGAAGAAACACAGTCCTCTGCTGATGACTTGACACCATCAGTTACTTCACATGAGGCTACCGACTTCTTTCCTCGGCCATTAAGATGTAGGAAACCTAATTTTATAATAGTACTCAAAAGGTCTTAGCATTATATATAGCTTCCTAGTTTAAAATATCAAAATTGCAGAGTGGGATAGAGAAACAGTGCTTTGCAGGAGGTTGTACGTGAATATTGTCTTTGGTTGGTATTATTGATTACCTAAAAGACCTATATTTAGTACAGTGCTCAAAGCACAAGTACAATTAATTTTTAAAAAAATACAGTAGCTTTTCAGAATTCATAGTTAGTGTGTCAAGGAACACTCTTTGTAATTTTCTGTATGTTAGTGAATGACATGAATATGTAGCCCGTTCTTTTAAATTAGTGTTTCTCTACTAAAATTTTTGCTGCTGCTTTTAAACCAGTGACTCCTCTATTCAGCCTGTGAATGTGAACTGGGATGTGGTTTCTTTGTGATTATTTCCCTTCACACATTCAACAGTTTTCCATAGGACTTCATGAACCAAAATGTTTTTATATGGGATGGGGCCTATGAACCCATGACCACCAAAATTTCACTACCCATGGAACTATTATGGGAAAGATCCAAGAAATAGTGGTTCAATTATCCAGCCTTGACAAAATATTCCTCATTGCTCCAACTCTAGTACACCAGTGAACAAATGAACTGCAATAGACAATGTGGAGGATTTTTATCAGTTTTAATTTGGCAAGTATCTTGAGCTGTTTCTGGGGGATTTCATCCCTCTAGAGAAAGGGGATGATAAAGGGCATGTGCTGTCTCAGTCATCAGCAATTGTAGCCCTTTTCATGCTGCTGATTGTCTAATGTAAGGCATTTGCATTGAGAGAGATACAAAAACCTTAAAAATTATAATGCCCTTTTTTAGTTAAGCAAACCCTAACCTTGCTGGCTCTTAAACATTGCTTGTGAACTGTTAATGAATATGGCACTGAAAGTGGCAGCTTTGTGGAAAGAATTATTAGCCCCTTCATCTTACTCAGGACTAAGAAACAGTCATCTTTGCTTTCAACTATTGTGGTTTTTCTATCAGAATGTTGTTCTTTCTCTATTAGAACTTTTGGTTGGGCATTTTAAAATCAAATATCCACCATTTCAGGGAGAGAAATGTCAATTTTCTGTGCTGTTGACAGTTTCATCTTTTTTCTAATCTTTGTCCATTTTACTATGATAACATTCAGTTTTAAGATAAACACGTCTAATAAAATGGCCTATGTGTTGAATTTGGATTAATTGGAAAAAATAATTGCATATTATTCTCCAGGCATGTTGTTGTTTCATGCATTCATGTTAACTTCTTGCCTGCTACTTCTGTCAGCAAAAAGAGAGAGACTGGTGATTGTAGTAATCACTACAGAAGAGGAGCCTCAGTCCATAGTTTTGGATATGGTCTTTGATGTTGATGATTCTGTTTAGTTGTGATGAAGCCAAAATTGAAACCCTATTTATGAGCATGTTATTACTGAAAATTGAGAATATGAAATAGCGTTTATCTTGACGGAGAGATAGACAACAGGTTAGCAAAGGCATATAGTGCTTTCAGAAGACTCCATAAAAGAGTTTGGCGAAATAAACACTTGAAGAAAAGTACAAAGATCAGTGTTTACAGAACCATAGTGCTGTCTACTCTTTTATATGGATCCGAATCATGGGTCATCTACCTCCACCACCTGCGACTCCTAGAACGCTTCCATCAACGCTGTCTCCGTACAATCCTAAACATCTACTGGTCAGATTATGTGACTAATACATCTGTTCTAGAACAAGCAGCAGTTACGAGTATTGAGGCCATGTTGCTGAGAACACAACTGCGTTGGGCAGGGCATGTCTCAAGGATGAAGGACTACTGCCTCCCCAAGATTGTGCTCTATGGTGAACTTGCCACCAGCTGCCGCAAGAGAGGAGCCCCGAAGAGAAGATACAAGGACTCCCTGAAACAACATCTCAACCTTGGCCATATTGATCAACATAACTGGTCTATTCTGACCTCCAGTCGGGAGGTCTGGAGGCACACTATCTTTAACGCTGCTGATGCTTTTGAGAAAGCATGCAGGATCACTCTTGAGGAGAAAAGACAAATGCAGAAAGAATCGTACCTTGCAGAATATACCACCTAAGGAGTCTTTCTGCTGTGCCTTTTGCAACTGGACTTGTCTATCTCGTATTGGCCTTTTTAGCCACCAGCGCACTTGTAACAAGCGTGGGTAGAGCCCTTCCCAAATCTTCGTTCGCGAAGCCTAACCATGATATATCAGAACTATAGATTCTATTCTGCTGGAGATAAAATAAAAAAAAATTAAATTACTTCAGAACCCAGAACCACAGAGTTCCAAATTCTAAAATATGAGTTATTCTGTGGAGTATTTCAGTAATTCTGCTGTATTTCTTCCTAAGGAAAAAAATATTAAAAAGGAATAAGCAGTCTTTTGTTGTCTTTTGCTTATTCTGTTTTCTGTATATCGGTTATATCTTTAGTCCTTGCTAAGGTAGCCTTGTTTAAAGGAATGTTTTAAATGCCAATTAAAACTTCAGATGAAAGGCTTTAGTAGGTAATAAAGACTCGCTTTCAACTTTACTTTCTTTGTGATTAATCCATGGCTAAATCATAGCCTTGGAAGTTTTCTGTTTTTCTCATACCTTTTCTATAAGGTATAAACCTTTATTGAAGAAAATCAATGAAGAAAAATGATCTAATTTTCTTTTGACTGTTAGAAATATATTAGATTGTCTTAGTTGCAATAATGGTAAATGTTTCAGTTCTGCAATATACAAGTACCAATGCTTTCCAACTTCATGCTAGTTTGATAGAAATGTAGATCAGCAGACTCATGATGAGTGTCTCCCAGTATAAAAGCAGGACTTCTTTCAAAAGTAAAGAATATCTTGTAGTTCTGTGTTTAAACTGAAAATTCTTCCTAGCTAAAACCAACTTATTTTTGTCTGAAGCAAACACTACATGTGATGGAGATAAGGAATCAGATGGTGAAGACATAGAGGCAGACAATGGTAATTCATCTGAAGATTTGAGAAAGGTAACAACTATATCTTAAGAAAAAGTTAAGAAAAATTTTACTATTAAAAATGCATTAAAATTTATAGTACATATCTAAAATAGAAAATCTCTGCAAAATCCCATGTTAATGGAATTTGTAATGCTTCCATGCACAGAATATTAAGCTAATACCCTTTTCTTATGATTTTTGTTACATCTTCAGGAAATAATGGTTGGTTCACAGTATCAGGCTGAAATTCCACCTTACCTTGGCAGATACAGTGATAATGAAAAGGGTAAGTTCTTCTGTTTTATTCAATGGCTTAGTTAAAGTCTCAGGGACCTTAAAAAAAACCCCAAAATAACCAAACAAAATAAACCTAGTCAACTGAAGTAACACAACCACATAATTCTATCTCCAAAGTGTGATTCTACAACTTTGAGTGGATATTCTCAAGAAGATGTAGGAGTAATATTAGGAGGCAGCAATCTGTGGGTCAAGAAGGAAATATTTTCATCAAGGTATCATAACTAGGCTATGAACATGTCACTTAGTTTACATTGAAGATCTTCAGTATTTTTCTTTGCTTGTTTTTTGGCAAGCACAACAGTGCAGGTTGCAAAATGGATATGAAAAACAAAGAAATTAACTATTTTAATTTTCCATAGCATGAGTAGAAGATGTAGGTCCTGAAATTGTGCTACAGTAGAAGAAACAATTTTATTTAATAGAGTTTTATTTGGTATCTTTAGAAACCTTCGCTGGCTGGATGCATTAGCAAGTGAACATCTCTTGTGTTGCTTAAGAGACCTATGGAAGTTTCCGATTTTCTGAGATTCAAGCATGATGCTTACTGGTTGTAAGAAATGGAAGAGTGAGAATCAGTTTTATCTGAATAGTCCTTTTACTATGTACACATCTTGACTTCTCCTTGGCCAAGAACTAGAGAAGGACCAGTAACCAGAGGATGATCAGGAAGGTGTTAATCTGACAACTTTCTCTGGAATGAACTGGTGCTAGAGAGAACCAGTAAGAGTACTGTCCACTGGCATAGCCAGGAGCAAAGAGGTAGCTCCCAGATGGGAGAACCTGAGGAGTTCCTCTTGAGACTATCAGACATAGATTCCAGTGAGAAGTGCTAGGTTGTCTTGGTTGATAATGGAGATTGAAACTGAGCTCAGCAATGGTCGGAGAGGTTGGATCTGACTGTATAGGTGGAGGATTCTGTAAAAGCCTCTTTTGTACTCCCTGAAGAGCTTGTGATGGCAAACAGGGGCTTATATTTCTGCTATGAAGTCCCAGCTCCTGGAATTGTGCTAGAAGGCAATTCTGCTCTTCTATAAACCTTACACTTGTAACATGTCTGTTTGAAAGCTTTCCATGTTCTTAAGTCACCTTAGATTAATATTCTTTCCTGCAGTTTTATGAGAGATTTGAGAATCTTCTTTATCTCTTCTACTGTAACTGCCATTATACTTGGGTGTGTTTGGATTTAATAATTCTCATTTGTATTGCCAAGAGAGTAAAGGATTTGTAGTTTAATCTAGAATTTAAATGTGCACAGACAAAGGTTCAGACCAACTCTTGAATATTTACAATATATTTCAAATAAACTACTTAAGAGGTGCATACATGATTTCAGTATACTACGAAGGAGGACTATACATCATGATTGCTTGTAAAATATGGAACGTGCAAGTTGTTAACAGCATCCAGTTGTTAGTGAATGGAAAAAGAAATTACCACATTGAGACCTAGATTTCCATTCTGTTAAGTAAGTTTTGGCAAATTTTAGTTGAAAATTACCAGATAGCTGCCACCTCTTTTTTTTGTTTGTTTTATATGCAATATTTGAAATATTAAAGTACACTCTTTTACTGTAAACTATAGCTTATTTGTTGTAAGCAGCTGAATAAAACTGAGTGGTTTTGCTAGGTTTTTTTAAATGAAGGTGATGAATACATATGCATAATTTGACATGAATCATCTAACTGTCAACAAGCTGCTCCTCTGTAAAGATTCTGTCTCAAGAGCCAGTCCCTTATCCTTATGGGACCTGAATATCTTCACCATACCACACTGAAGAGTCTCCCTCTTAACTGAGGCTTTTTGGGGAGAAAGTGAGCTGCATTTTAAAAGTGGCATGATGGTGCTTGATTTGATTACTTCTATATTCCTGTTCTTAGCCTTAAAAATGTCATACCTGCTATTAATGAATTCTGTTTTAACAGCCTATGAAAATGAAGACCATTTACTGTGGAAACCTGATGTGATCTCAGAAAGTAAAGTTAAAGAATACCTTTTTGAAACCTCCTTAAGAGCAGGAAATGAAAATACAATTGGCAGGATTCCTGAAGGACTACATACACGGGACAATGAACAAGTATATTTTATATCCTGTTCTATTTGTGACACATTGCTTTGTAATTAATGTGTTCTGTTTCTCTACCTTGTATTATAAAGGCAGCAATATTCTTTGGTTGTTTTTTTTAAGATGTTATTTGGGTCAGGATCTTATTTGTAATTTTAAACATGTGCTTAAAATTATGAGTATTTGAATGTTGGCAGTGTTGTGATCTGTGATGTTCCTGATTGACATGCTGTTGACAAATCTAGCTTTTCTAATTATCGCATATAATGTTTTACATTTGCTTAATTAAACTTTACCTTAATATTTGGATGGTGTAGGAATAGATACATTTCTGGAAGAATTTGTAACGGAAAGTTAGAACTCATTTTGCTATGAAGGCTTTCTGCCTGGATGGTGGATCTTTCTCAAAGGCAGTTTCAATGCTTCTTCCCCCCCCCGCATAGCAAGAGAAGTTCTCAGCCTTGCTCTCTGGTATGCAGAGAGATAACATGTTTGCAGGCATGTACAAGGCCTCCTTGGGCCAGAGAGAGTGGGGGAGGAGAGAGAGAAGATACAAAAAACCGAGGAGGAAGAGGGGCATTGCCTTTTGCCCCTGGGGCCCGATGTGTGCAAAATCTTAAAAAAGTGGTCCTTGCATCTGAAATAAACCTTTTTTTTAATCCTTCCACTGCCTTGGCATTCTCGGGAAGAATACTTGTGAATGTTTACCTTACAGATGGTTTTGCTTTTGGTGGTTGTTTTAAAATTTTCATCCTGTATAAAGATAAATCTTCTTTTTTTACATTAGATATGTTCACTGAAAGGCTTGTTTCAGGAGTTTAGATAGGATATTTGCACACTTTGACTCTTTCTAAAGATGACTTCTATTTTATAGGCACTATATGAACTTCTCAAAAGTAGCCATAATGTTAAAGAAGCAATTGAGAGATACTGCTCAGATGGAAAGGCATCTCAGGGTAAGAGAGAGTACCTGCTTTTTACAAAACGTGTCTTTGGAGGGGGAGGATAAATAAATGAAAAGTTGTGTAGAAAAACCATGAGTAAGATTCAGATTGATGAACCAGAACTTGAGGTGAGACCTCCCCAGTGCAGAGCAGAGCAGGACAATCCCCTCCCTCACCCGGCTGGCAATGCTTTGCCTGATGTTCCCCCCCAGACATGGTTGGCCCTCCTGGCTTCCAGGGCACTGCTGACTCATGTCCAACTGGCCATCGACCAGGACCCCCAGGTCCCTTTCTGCAGCACTGCTTTCCAGCATCTCATTCCCCAGTCTGTCTGTACATCTAGGGTTGGCTCATCCCAGGTGCAGAATCTGGCGCTTTACCTCGTTCCACTTCATATGGTTGGTGATTGCCCAGCTCTCTAATTTGTCGAGGTCTCTCTGCAGGGCCTCCCTGCCTTTGAGGGAGTGAACAGCTCTTCCCAATTTAGTATCATCAGCAAACTTACTTAGCATCCCTTCCAGTCCTGCATCCAAGTCATTTATGAAGATGTTGAAGAGCACAGGGCCTAAGATGGAGCCCTGCATAACCCCACTAGTGACAGATCGCCAGTCTGATGTCACCCCATTCACTATTACCCTCTGTGCTCAACCCGTGAGCCAATTGCTCACCCACTGCATGATGTGTTTATCCAGCTGTGGGCTGGACAGTTTGTCCAGAAGGATCCTGGGAGAGACAGTATCAAAAGCTTTACTGAAATCCAAAAGGATTACATCAACTGACTTCCCTTGATCAACTAGATGGGGAACCTTGTCCTACAAGGAAATTAAGTTTGACAAGCAGGACTTTCCTCTCATGAAGCTGTGCTGGCTGTGACCAATGACTGCGTTGTCCTTCAGGTGTTTTTTAATAATTCTCATTAGGTATATAACTCAGATTAGGTATAATCGGACTTTTGGCGAGATTTACATTTCTACTGGAGAAGTTTGTAACTTGTATAAAGGTTGCAGGATCAGATTTTACATCTTTTCTTTCCTTCTTTCCTCCCTTTGCTGTTTTAAGAATGATACACACTGACCAGAAGGATGGAGGGGGAGTTGTGGTTTTAAGAATGATACACACTGAGCAGAAGGATGGAGGGGGAGTTGTGATTTTACTCCCATAAGGCAGTTCTCTCCCACATTACAGTGCCTTTCTGAGATCACGGTCAATTATAATCTGATAACATTTATACCATAATCAGGAGAACATAGCTGATAATATGAGTGAACCCCACTCTTCATCACTGTGATAACATTGTGCTATGTCAACCCTAAACTGATTCTACTGTATAGTTCTATGGGTCTTTGGTAGAGTATGGAGAGATTTGCTTGAGTTTACAGTGGAAAACATGCTTCCATCTTGTTTGTCCCTAACTTTATTACTCCTTTAAATAAAAATCAGTGTGTATCATTTAGCAAAGGCAGTTCTTTGTCCTGTATTTTAACATGTTCCATAAAGCAGAAATGGACTATGAACCCTGGTATAAATTTGTATTCTGGCAGATATTCTCTACTCAGAACTGGATCCAAGGGGAATTTGAGTGTTTATGAGTTAGGTGCTGTGAAAGCTAAGTATCAAGGGTAAAACTGAAGGGAACAATAAGGAATATCAGAGCAGTGTTTCAGAAAGCTCTTTTACAAGAAAAGATTGTATGTCAGAGCCCCAAATTCTGTCCTAAGGACTAGTACTCATCCCCTCCCAGGCACCAAGACAGATGGGATTTATACCCTCATTAAAAATGGTGAAGAGGGATAATACTGTTAATGCTTGTCTCTTAGAGTAACCATTGTGCAATGATCTACTCTACCCACTGAAGTTCACTGCTATTCTCAGTAGGAGTTAAAAATCCGCATCTCCCAAGATAATTTCGTAACAGTGAGACTTTACATGGGGATCTCCTCTTTGGAGCTTGAGAATTCTGTAGTAAGGAGTGCAAAATTAATGGCCTTGTAGTGGAATGATGATCACCTTCATCTGGAAGCAGAAAGGTCTTTGTTCCAGTGTCTGCTTCCAGAAATGTTTCAAAATGTTTTTGTTGGTTGTCTTTTTGTTCTCCACTCCCATTGGCTTTAAATGACATCTGAACAGATCACTATTATGAATGTAAGATGCCTGAAATATCCCTCTTTTATTATATATAGATACAAAACCATAATCAAGATAAGGAAGAAACAATACTTGAGACAAAACTGACTTACTCAAATAGTTTGAGCTACTTTGTTTTAAAACTCTTATTCCTTTTTAGTGTTTTTTGTTTTGTTTTCTTTAATTTGTAAAACTAAAATTCACTTCTGTCTTCCAAAAGATTCCTTCACACTTTTTCCAATAGTCACTGTTCATTGTATCTGATGCAAGAAGGAATATTCAGAAAAATAATCCCACTGATATCTTAGTGATGTTATCAAATCTTGTTTTTTTGATGACAAACTTTTTAAGAAGTAATAAATCAAGTCTTTTGAATGTCCTTTACCCTCCAGGGTAAAACATTTCAGAAATCAGACTTTTTTATGAGTCTTTATAAACAGAAATATTAGATTTCAGATAGGATATCTGTACAGTAGAGGAAAGAACATTGGTCTAAATAACTGAATTGTTGCTTTTTTTAGAGTGTGTTTGGGTAATCAGGCATTAGCAACACAAATATTTTGTTCTCTGTAAAAGGTTAGTGAGCAAAAATAAGTTTATCATGCTACTTTTGTAATTGTCTAGAAGAGATGACAGCATGGACAGAAGAAGAATGCAGAAGCTTTGAAAATGCACTTCTGATTTATGGAAAAGACTTTCATCTCATACAGAAAAACAAGGTTAGTATTTCACAGTTAAATGGAAGAATTGGTAGATGATATGATGCAGAATATTTGTAAAAGTAATGCATTTTTCAGAAGCTATGCAGAAGAGTGAAATAAGAGCCAACATATTAAAACCAGCTTGGTGTTTTTGTGCTAATTTTACCTCTGATGCCATTGGAAAAGCTAGGCATTGCAACATGAGTCAATATATTATCTCTGAAATCAACTTATGTTGATATTGCTTCCATATATGGAAGCATTTCTATGCATTTATATTATAATTTAGATAAAATGTCTGCCTCTCCTAGAAGTGTATTATTTTCATACCATGACTGTGGGAGGGGAAAAGACATCTTTAATTAATTTTGTCACTCAGGTGTAATTCTACAGAAATGGGCTTAGCTCTTTGTGTTTTCAGAAAGTGTAGTCATCTATCAGTACCATCCTGGTTTCTGGCCAAAAAAGGAGTTCTAATCTTGATTTGAATTGCTTCTGATTGATTCCTCTGTTCCTGAAGAATAAGAATTGGATTTTTTTTTTTATCAAGTATGTATATCACTTGGTACAGTTGTCAGTATGGATGTTTCCAAACTTTCTGTATATCTCCTATATGTTTTGATACCACCTTGAGGTTTTGTACTGGTTTTGACTGGGATAGAGTTAATTTTCTTCATAGTAGTGTTGCCTAAAGAAACTTTGGGGAGAAAAAAACTCCGAGGCAATTTAGTTTTGGAGGTGAGATAAGGAAAGGGTTTTAATTTGTGCCTCTGAGGCATAAGATTACAAGACGCATGCAAGTCCCTCTGTACAGATATTACAATTTATAATATTGTCTGTCCAATCCCAGATATTTCCACCCTGTGGCTTTTGCCCTGATCTACCCTCGGTCTGCCCCTGGGGAATTGGGACTAGGGGCTTTTCGAGATCCTATTTTCATCAATCATCATCTTCTTCAGAGTACAAGGGGCATATATTCACCCAGTTCTTGACTGTACTTTTGCGGTTTAGACCAAGATACAAACATTCTCCAAACAGAACAGGCCTAATCTTAAAGAGAGACTAAACATTTCTACTGGAATTCAGGTGTAGAATTGATATGGGGACCATGGAATGGGGTGATAGGGTTGGGGAATGTGTGTAGTTACTATGCTAAGGGTAAAGGAATAAGGGCTGCTGCTTCTAAATCTACTTCTACTATATAACTACTTATAAAACTTATAAAAATTAGAAAAATCAAAAAAAACAGATGGACCTTAAGGCATCAGTAGCTAGTATGGGCTTTGCTTTAGACTTGTGCTGGAAACAGTGTTGATAAGACGCTAATGTTTTAGTTATTGCTGAACAGGGTTTATGTAGAGTCAAGGCCTTTTCTGCTCCTCAGACTGTCCTGCCAGTGAGTAGGCTGGGGGTGCACAAGAAACTGGGAGGAGGGACAACTGACCCCAACTGACCAAAGGGATATTCCATACCATATGACATCATACTCAGTAATAAAATTGGGGGGGTGAAGGTTGTTGGGTGGGGGCTTCTGTGGCTTGGGGACTGGCTGGGCATCAGTTGGTTGGTGGTGAACAATTGGGGTTTTTTGCATGTTGCTGGTGAGGCTTAAACCACAACAAGTTTTTTCTTTAGGAGACTGGTGCTTTTGTTGTATTTCAGGTAAACTTTATAGGGTTATGGTTGCTGTTCAACAACTGTCTGATAGTCCTGTTCAACACTTGACTTAACTTGTTCTATAATAAATATTTGGGTGGTTCAAATTGTAAATGGACCTTACCCATAAACAATAATTAACCAGAGATACAAAGAAATAATTTTAAAATATTTTTTCCAACGTACAACAAAGCATATGAGTTGATCTATGTCACTATGGACCAGAATTTTATAAGTACCCAACATCTTTTCTGCTTCACTTCTCTTGAGTCATTCATTTGCTCAGTGTTTTCCATCCTAAGAGAGAGTCTGTCTCATAGTTTAAAAAATTGCTATGTAGGTTATGAACTGAAATGCTTCAGATGTAGATACAGTTTCAATCTAGTTTAAAAAAAAACAAACCTAAACAACAGTAATGTATACAATAGAACAGATGTAGTAATTATTTAGAATAGAATAGACTATTTCTGTTGGAAGGGGCCTACAACGATCATCTACTCCAGCTGCCTGACCACTTCAGGGCTGACCAGAAGTTACAGTGTTATTAAGAGCGTTGGCCAAATGCCTCTTAAACACTGACAGGCTTGGGGCATTGACCACCTCTCTAGGAAGCCTGCTCCAGTGTTTGACCACCCTCTCAGTAAAGAAATTTGAAACTGTAAATGTCTTTTTCAGGTCTTCTGATTTAATTGGTTTGTTCCAGATACTAGAATAGTAAAAGTAACAATATTGCAGGAATATGGGGACTAGGGAGATGACAAAGCATAATGCTTTGCATTTATCTTGTCAATTCTTCCTGACTTCTTTTAGGTAAGAACCAGAACAGTTGCTGAGTGTGTGGCTTTCTATTACATGTGGAAAAAGTCAGAACGTTATGATTACTTTGCTCAGCAAACAAGATTTGGAAAGAAGAGATATAACCATCATCCTGGAGTTACGTAAGTAAAATGCCTTCAGAATATGTTTTCTGTTGCAAATTGTAAATGTAGAAGATTAGTTTTTTCTTCCCATCATTGCAGTGTAATGCTGCAGTGGCTATGACAACTGAAAATAAATCCCATCATCATTTTAGGCCTTGTTTTCCTGTTAAATAACTCATTATGAATGCCATATTCTTTAAGGGACTACATGGATCGTTTGGTAGATGAAGCAGAAGCCCTTGGTGGAGCAGTACATACTTCAGCCTTAACATCTAATACTCGAACAGAAAGCATTCCTGATCAACAGCTAAGTATTCTGAACTCTATCACTGCCAATGAGTTGACAGGTAAATCAAGGAAAAAACCCAAACAAAACCCACAAACTTTTTGTTGTAACTATATAAACAACTATTTCATTTATGTTTTATGTTCCTCTTTTTTTCCAGCATTGACAAACAGTGTAGCTACAGTCTGCCACACTTCAGATGTGAGTTGCCTTGACGATGCCTTCCCTCCTATGGACAGCTTACCCCGAGCAGCAGTTAATCATGTGCCTGTTGGAACAGAAGAATTACTTAACTTGCCTAGCAATGGTGAAAGTGATTGTTTTAATTTATTTGAGACTGGCTTTTATCCCTCAGAGCTAAACCCAATGAACATGTGCAGTGAGGAGACAGAAAGACCTGCGAAGAGATTGAAAATGGGAATTGCTGTCCCAGAATCTTTCATGAATGATGTCTCAGTAAATAACCTTGGTGTGGACTTTGAGAACCACACGCACCATATTACCAGTGCCAAAATGGCTGTTTCGGTGGCTGACTTCAGCAGTCTATCTGCAAATGAGACAAATGGCTTTATAAACACCCATGCTCTTCACCAACATACTGCCCTTCACTCAGAATGACTGTGGAAAACTAAACAAACAGTGGGTATTTTATGCAGTAATAGTAAACTTGATGGGAACTATCAGGTTTGCTTAGTCTTTCACTGGAAGTTTGAACTTTGACATCAGTGATGTCTTTTTATGTATAGAACTATATCTTGATTTATCAAGAGTAATTTCTTTTTTCAGTCCATAAATGTGGAAATGTTTGGCAGTTTGGAACTAAGAGAACTCTGTGGTGCAGCTTTAAGCTCTGCTTCAAATTTCTTTTAAAACCTGTAGAGAGAGGCCACCATTTCAAAACCAGCACAGAAGTTCTGAACTGATTGGAGTGGCTTTTTAGTCAAAGTTACTTTTGCCATAACGGATGCAGTGTAATAACAGTGTTTACAGGTACCATTCCTGATCCCTGCTTAATGTAGCATTTTATTTTTTTTTTTATAAAGGCAGAGATGAGTTTCTTTAACTGCACAAACATACAACGATGTTTTATAATGGAACCTTCTCTTATGTGATACTAAACTAGAGCACTTCAGTTTAAAAAACAGCAATTTCATCTTGGTGGAAGCTAGCACAAGGGATTTAACATGAGTAAAGTATGAAGACCTACACTTGGAGGCTGTTGCAAAGTTATAGGCCATGGCTACCTTACACAGAAGTAATTATACTGCCAGAGGTATCTGTGTACTTTAAACTTACTGACTTAAACAGATACATTTTAGGCTATTGTATTCAGATAGGTTTTGTCCACAACTTTGAAGATTATTGCACCTGTGTAACTTAACTTTGCTAAGGCAGCTGATGTATAAAGCTACAGTCTGTACATCTTAGGATTTACCACTAAACAGTCTACGTTTTGGAAGACAGATTGTTTGGAGCACTGCAGTTCAAAGTGTTACAATTTTGAGAGACTGTCTAGTTTATATAGAAATAGTAGAACCTTGAAGTATGTATTTGGAAGTTTTTCTTCAGTGTGGATTGAATTTGTTTTGGCAAGTCATTGGCTCAAAAATGGCACTTCGCTACCTTGGTCAAATAGAAAAGGATGAATAAAAATGTTTCCCCTAAAAGCGACTATTTAACTTCAATAAATTTTTATTTTGATCATTGAGTGCAATTTAACCATCCATGAAGTTTGTCTTTCAAATGTTTGCTCTAATTCTTGTGAGAGACCATTACTTCAGTAGGATTACCTCTTTCCCTCCATACTTTTTCCTTGCACTGTTCATATTACAAATTTAATTGCCACAAACTTGTTTTGATTATTGAAGTGATTAAGCTCACGTTGTTGATATATGCAATAGTTGCTTCAAGGTTATGCCGAGTAATTAAAAAGTAGTGACTTTAATATTTGAAAGGGAAGAGGATATTTATTATGCATACTGTGAACTGCATTGACATACTGAGTTATGGATGCACTGTGTGGAGTTTTCTTTACAGCACTGCAATGAAGATTGGTTTGAAGCATTTATGCAATACCACATTTACCATATTAAAACAAATTAGTTTAACACAGTGGACAAAAGTAAAGATAATTTTGTAATCAGTTCTTAACTTATACATCTGAAATATGTAATTCTAATAAGTAAATAATGGGTAGCCTTGGCCCTGTGTTGTACTCTGACATTTTTAGACAAGTTGTCAGCTTCTTGTTGCTGTGTTTTGTGCTGAACTGTGTACCTTGTTTCTTTTCTTTGCGAATCAAAACATTTTATGTAATTTTGTAAAATACTGGTCATAATCCATTGTTATACATTCAATTTTATGGGTTTACAGTGAGTGGCTGGTCTGTATAAAAATCATTATACAAAGATGACTGAATGCTTATAACAGTTGCGTTTAAATGAACATGCCCATTCTCATTAGCTGATGCAGTAATATATTCAATTTATCTATGCATTGCTGGGCTCTTAATGCAGACAGACTTGTCTAAGGTTTGGGTTGTCAGCAAATTGAATGGACACTTTAGTTATTTAATAAAGACTTTTGACCAAAATTCAGAAAATTATGGGAGAAAAATTAATTCCAGCTAGTCTAATAGATTTTTAAATGCTGATCTTATTTAGCTTGTTGGCTAGCTAGCTGGTATTGTTTACTTTCAATTCCTTGTTAAAATGAGGCAATAATTTGCAAGATTTTGTAAATATTTAATTCTTCATATCTTTTTAGATATCTATTTCAATATTTTCTGACTACTTGTGTGTATAGTAACACTTTTGTGCATGCTTGATGTGACATTCATAAATTTGTACCATGATGACTTTATCCATGTAAAATAGCTATTTATTGAATTTTTCATTTAGAAGCTGGACTTAATTATTTTTCTCTCAGTTTAAACATTTAAAATGGAGAACTTGTTACTGTTTATTAAAAGAATTGCATTTTGAAAGTCAGCATGAAGATAACTGAATTGCAACCATATGAAGAAATTATATTGCCTTGGTTCTTTGATGGTGAAGCACAATTCTTATAACAAACTGTGATGAATTCTTTGTCCTCTGCCATACTTTTTCTTCATACAAACAAACCAAAAATCCATAATGGGCGATTGTGGTGTTGGTAAATGTATCCTTTTAATGTACAGGAAATCTGAAGAGGATAGCTGATTCATTTAGAAGTGTAACTCGGTGCTGTGATTATAGCAATACTTTTACTTTGGTTACTTGTGTGTCTTCTCATGTTAGGTTTTTAAAGGTTTAGTTTTCCTCTTGTCATGGTCAAAGTACTAAATTGTGTACTATTAGGTCAATGAATTATGTAATTGTTTCCTGTTTTTAACTTTTAAAATTGAGGATCAGAAATGTATGAAAACTTCAGATCAAATAGAATATAATGATAGTACTTAATTTAACCAAAGTCTTTAGGTGAGTATTTCAACTTTGAATGTAAACTAAATGTATAAACTGACCAACGGGGACACTATTTGCCCAGCACTACAAGCACATTGTCTACAGATGGAGAAACTAAGTGCAGTAATTTATAAAATAATGACAAGGTTACTATTTTTTTATTCCTATTTTTCATTGGAAGAAGGAGAATACTATCAATTGTAAAATACAGAAGGTATGGTTATAGTCCTCTTAATAAAACAGATTCCAGTTATTCAAAATACCTTGAACATAACAACAAATTTTGTGACAATCGGGACATGATTTTAATATCAGATGTTCAAGAGGAAGTTGCTCTTGTTGCATTGGTTTTAATATTTGTACATAAACACTGATTTTATTTTTTTTTAGCATTATTTTGTATTTGTTGTACTTTATTACCTGGTGTACAATTCCAGAAATAAATGTCTGGAAACCTTTCTTTACCTGTAATGCAGATGCATGAAAAGCTTGGTTAGCTACTGTCTTTTCAGAAATACATAGCAATACCTCTGAACACATTTTAAGATACTCTGGGTACTACTGAAGTGCACACTACCACTCTATAAGCAGTTGGGAGAAGTCTCAAAAGCTCTAGCATTTGTTCTTGCAAGGGACTTAAACTTATCAGATGTCTGCTGGAAATACAATACAGCAGAGAGGAAACAGTGTAGGAGGTGGTGTGGTTTAACCCCAGACAGCAAATATGTACATGCAGGAATAACCCAGGCTGTTTTTCCCAGCACATTTTTAGTTGCACTTCAGGAACTTTATCCCTTTCTACAGTACAAAAAAGTTTTGATTGGGCAGGGCCAACCCGATTGGCAGATCCTCTGGTGTTGAATAATGAACTGGCCTTTGCTAAATGTGTATCCCAATGTTTGAAGGTCCCACCTGTTACAACCCACCCCGCAAGGCAGAGGTAACTTTTGTTTTTTTCTAATAAATCCCTTGGGGTAAATTAAAGTAAATTGATACTAGATGATCAGTGTTTACAGATATAGATACATATAGATAGACATATATAGGATTTATTTTAGAACAATTTGGTTGCAAAGGAAAATGTAGTCATTTTGGTTGTGATGATCTATAGTAATATGGCAATATAAAAGTATAAAGATATCACCCAAGAAAATGTGTAAGGGAAAAGAGAGAAGGGAAGAGAGAAAAAGTAAGAGTTTATAGTCACCACTCAAAGGTCTTCAATGAACTTGGTTCTTGTCACTGATGTCTTGATCCATCGGGGAATGATGGGGAAAAGAAGCCCACAAAACATAAAGTCCCATGGGTTTATATACCCTCAGAAACCTGGTGCTTCCCCTGCATGTGGGGAGTGCTGTTTTTGCACAGTCATACTGTTTTTCAGAGGCTGGAGGTGATAGGTTTTGTATAGTCATTTAGGCTTGGGGGGTGCTTCAGAGGCACCCCTGCTAAGAGGCCTTCTCTGGGGTAGTGGTGGGTGTGTGCACACTGGGCCTCCTTTGACATGACCTGGCTCATAGGAGATAAGCATCACACACATAGAGATTTGCCCCTAGGGCCTCTACAAATCTAACAGTTTGTGGGCTATGACTTGCTCCCTTCAGCCTTATCTTCAATCCCCTGGCAGGAGGATTGCACAGCTCACTCCAGTAAAAATGTTTTAAGGCAATTAAAAAATCCAATTCCTCATACCATCCCATGACTTAAAATATAAATTTTTCTTCCGTTACTCTCTCCAAATCTTCTTCAAGGATCATGACTTTCACATAGTGGACAGAAGGAGAAAAGAAAGAGGAATGGGGAGAGGTAGTACGGATGATCATACAATGGACAATGGCTATACCAATCAATAAAAGTATAAAACCAATAAACAATGACATTCCTATTTTTGCTAACCATGTTCCCCACCCAGTGAGTCTCAGAGATACCAAAATGGATTGTAGCCAAGAGCTTGGGGTCCATCCATTAAACCAGCCTTTCAGTTGTATTGCTTGGAAGAGTTCTCCAGTCTGGTCAGTGATCTTCATTTTCCATCATGCTTCTTCTATAGAGGTGGTGGCATTATAAATGGTGATACAACATTCTCCTTCAGTCAAATTTAACATTCCGCATATACCATGTTCTTTTAACAATAAAATATCTAAAGCTAACTTGTTCTGTAATGCCATCTTT